GTTGAATATGACTTTGAAAGCAAAATTCTACCGTCCATTTACACCATGGTATTGATTATTGGTCTGGGAGCAAACGGATGGGGGATGAAGTCGATCCTGCAGAAACAGAAGAAAGTTGGAAACAATGTGTTTCTTTTAAACATTGGACTTGCCAATTTTTTGTTCCTTCCAACACTACCATTTTTGTCAGCATACTATTTTATGAACAGTAATTGGATATTTGGAGATGCCTTCTGCAAGATCACAAGATTCTGCTTCAACTTGAATTTATACGGCAGCATTGGATTCCTCACCTGTATAAGTGTGGACAGGTATCTGGCTATTGTCCATCCACTGAAAGCGATGGGAAGGATGACTGTCCGTAACACTGTGGCTATCTCAGTCATGGTTTGGGTGTTGGTGAGTGTTCAAAGTCTTCCAGACATGCTCTACCTCAAAACATCCACAAACAACACCACCAAAACAAATGAAACCGCAAAATGCTACCATACCACCTCTACACAGTATGTCGAGGATTACCTGACATACAGTCTTGGACAGACACTCACTGGGTTTTGCATCCCGTTCCTTATCCTACTTGGCTGCTATGGACATGTGATTTTGGTTCTCTGCCAAAGTAATACCATTGACAAGGAAGTAAAACAAAGAAGCTTAAAGCTGTTGTTTATTTTGATTCTTCTCTTCTCAGTTTGTTACATCCCATATCATATTTTTAGGAACCTCAACCTTTATGCAAGAGGATTATTAAAAAAGGGGCAATGCCCTACATGGAATAATGGAGTCTTCAGTGCTCATCAGATAAGTCGTGGTCTTGTGTGTCTGAATAGTGTTTTGAACCCCCTGGTTTACCTCCATATCACAGATATTTCTACTCAGTTCAATAAGCTTCTCCTGCGATCTTGTCATATGTTAAATCGTCTGACTGTATCAAGATATGGCAGTGTGCAGGCGACACAGTATACACAAGACTAGTTCATTGTTGACTTTGATCTCATCATTTACTGCTGTGCTTAACAGCTACACTGTTCATTTGCTGTCCTTTTTTTCTATTTATTACATTCTTTTTTTATACTATATTATACAATGTTTTAAATAAACTATGGATTTCAGAGGAAACAGCTCCATGTGTCTGTGTTATGACAGATCTGTGAAAGGAAGCTAATGTCAACAGAGAATGACTAAAGCTGTGAGTGAGAAAAAAAATCAACAGCCAGTTCCTAATGACATTAGATTTTTGATGTAAATATACTCTTATCCACATTTATTCACATATATCACAACAGCAACACTTGCACACAATAAGGTCAGGGCAGAGCACTGGGAGATGATTATCATGATTTATTTTTCAGTGCAATCATTAACAAGTTGTGGTTAGTAGTTAAAACACTCACAAGCAGCCCCTGGGTCATTGGTGTATAAGTGTGTGTATACAGATAAAAAGACCTAAGAGCATAGAGTACAACTGCTTTGTGAATGGGTTCATGTGGCTTGTACTTGCATCTTTTTTAAAAGAAGACCGCATGACTTCACATAGTGCGTTCTAGTGAAAGAAAATAACATAAATCATATAAAACAGATTTTTCTTTAAACCAGATAAAAAACAAAATATTTTGACAATATATTTAATTTATTCTCTAACGAAACTTTGCTTTTCTGTTCTCATATTGCATGCACATGTTGCACAGCGGCAATGCAAATGCAGTTCTAATACAGTGGGGCAAAAAAGTATTTAGTCAGCCACCGATTGTGCAAGTTCCCCCACTTAAAATGATGACAGAGGTCAGTAATTTGCACCAGAGGTACACTTCAACTGTGAGAGACAGAATGTGAAAAAAAAATCCATGAATCCACATGGTAGGATTTGCCCCTGGTTCTTGGGTTGACTCTGGGGCCTCTGGATGTCTGGGGCCTGGATCTCCTCCATGCCTGCTTCATGCCCTGGGGGACGGGGCTATGGCTCGCTACATCCTCTTGCAGACCATTACATGTGGAAACCATTTGAATACAAGCGCGCTGATCCACACAGGTGTGCACACGGGTGTTCACTGCTCGTAGACTTAAATTACACCTTTCTTGGCTGCTACTTCAAAGCACATTGTGCGCTGTCTGTCCTGCGTGCTGCACAACAACATTGAATATTTAGTATTTACTGCTGTTTACACTTAGCTAGATTAATGCGATGGTGTTGTGTTTAGTATGTTGCTTGTGTTGTTTTTTTTTGCTTGTTTTCTATTCTTTTCTCTCAACAGGTGATCCAGGAGATTTTTTTTTCTCCCCCCTTTCTCACTGTCCCTCTCCCCTTCTGTTTTTCTTTTCCTTCCTCTTTCTTTCTCCCTTTCCTATCCCTCACTCATGTCTGTCCCGTCTGTAACATCTGAAAATAAAATATAATAAATAATAAAAACAAAGATCGATCAAATGGACCAATACGGCAATGCCACGATGATCCATTTGGCAAAGTAAATCCATTGGGTATCCTTGTTGGTCTTCAGACAACAATTCTGATGGCTAAAGAACCAAATGGGACAGGCAAAAAAAAAAAAACAAAGGTCACCATCAGTAACACACTACAACGGCAGGGAATCAAATCCCGCAGTGCCAGACGTGTTCCGCTGCTGAAGCCAGTGCATGTCCAGGCCCGTCTGAAGTTTGCCAGAGAGCACATGGATGATACAGCAGAGGATTGGGAGAATGTCATGTGGTCAGATGAAACCAAAGTAGAACTTTTTGGTATAAACTCAACTCGTCGTGTTTGGAGGAAGAAGAATACTGAGTTGCATCCCAAGAACACCATACCTACTGTGAAGCATGGGGGTGGAAACATCATGCTATGGGGCTGTTTTTCTGCCAAGGGGACAGGACGACTGATCCGTGTTAAGGACAGAATGAATGGGGCCATGTATCGTGAGATTTTGAGCCAAAACCTCCTTCCATCAGTGAGAACTTTGAAGATGAAACGAGGCTGGGTCTTCCAACATGACAATGATCCAAAACACACCGCCCGGGCAACAAAGGAGTGGCTCCGTAAGAAGCATTTGAAAGTCCTGGAGTGGCCTAGCCAGTCTCCAGACCTCAACCCCATAGAAAATCTGTGGCGGGAGTTGAAAGTCCGTGTTGCTCGGCGACAGCCCCAAAACATCACTGCTCTCGAGAAGATCTGCATGGAGGAATGGGCCAAAATACCAGCTACTGTGTGTGCAAACCTGGTAAAGACCTATAGTAAACGTTTGACCTCTGTTATTGCCAACAAAGGTTATGTTACAAAGTATTGAGTTGTATTTTTGTTATTGACCAAATACTTATTTTCCACCCTGATTTACGAATAAATTCTTTACAAATCCTACCATGTGGATTCATGGATTTTTTTTTTCACATTCTGTCTCTCACAGTTGAAGTGTACCTCTGGTGCAAATTACTGACCTCTGTCATCATTTTAGGTGGGGGAACTTGCACAATCGGTGGCTGACTAAATACTTTTTTGCCCCACTGTAAATATTTAAAGATGGCAACTGAAAAATTGCTCAGAACTCTTTGTAATAAAATATTTTAATATTTTTCTCTGATTAATCAACTCACACACACACATATAGATAGATAGAGTCAGTTTTTTCTTTTCTATTGCACACTCCCTCCAACCTCTCCACCACTTGTTTACTGTGGTTTCATGCCAGCTGATACACCCCTTTTCTAAATAATTTAATCTTGCTCTGTGGAAGAGACCTAAGATTCCTGTTTGCATCTAGTAATACGAGTTCTTGTTGACACTGACTATCCTGCAAAAGCATTTGCAACACCTGGTGAATATTTCAATAAGGACAGATCATTAGAAACAATTAACATGACTTTGACTCCAACGGCGATCCCGGCAGAACGGAACCCCAGCTGCGACAGGGTTTAGAGCAGGACCTCTGTGAAAGAGAAAGAGATTCACAGGTAAATCTAAAGTATGCACCATGAATGCTGATTGGCTTGGAGAAAGCAGCGAGAAGGTGATTGGACTAGACCAGTGATGACACAAGCGGCTTGACAGCGTGGGAAAGTCTGATAAAGCTTACATTTAGGCGTCAGCACCCAGGAGCTGACACATGTGGCCATAGAACTTTCTTATTGAACTTTGGGAATAAGCTTCATTTAAAAACCTTAAACATTACTGATTTATTATAATCTATTACTGATTCAGAATAAGTAATATTGACTCACATGAAACTAATAGTTAAACAGTTAAAAATAATCCATCATTTTTTATTTTGATAAATATTTTGGCAACTGTAAAAGTGATAATTTACAGTTGTTTAGCCATGAAAGACTGCAAAAAAGCACAAAGTTGTCAGGGTGAACAAGAAAAGCGAGGTCTGTCAAAATCATGAAACCTAATAATTTTTTATCAGGTCACTACCTCATAGCAACTATAGTCACTGAAGGAGTCAGTTTTCACCTTTTCTATTGCGCACTCCCTCCAACCTCTCCACCACTTGTTTACTGTGGTTTCCCCACACATGCCAGCTGATACACCTACTACCAGTCTATCTCCTCCCCCATCTTCTTTTCCAAATAATTTAATCTTGTTCTGTGGAAGAGACCTAAGCTTCCCGTTTACATCTAGTAATACGAGTTCTTGTTGACACTGACTATCCTGCAAAAGCATTTGCAACACCTGGTGAATTTTAGGATTCCATGCCTGCCCACTCTTGCATGCCACCACCAGACAGGCCTCAAATATTATATTATATTTCTGCATTTCTTTGTTTTGGTTTAAGTGTCTTTGTGTACTTTGAGAACTTGTGTGAAAATGTGAGGATGTTCATTTTTAGATTTATTGAAAAATATAGTAAAAATACAAAAACAATACGCTGCTTGCTTTCACATTCCAAACAATGCCCAAAGGCAAGATTAAGATTGCATGCATATGTATTAGACATGTTGCATTCACTTGAGATCTCAGTCTTATGCTTCGGTGGGCAGGAATTCAAGCTTGAACATGACGTATAAATTGTAAAAAAATAAAAATAGGGTGTGTTTTCTTTCACTTTCATGACATAGAAGTCTCCATGAAGGGGGAAGATTGTGCAGACTTTTGCTTTAGAAGCACAATGAATAACAGATCCTGTACTTCAGGCAACTTAAAACTCCATGAACACAAAATTCTACCTGCCATTTATGCCTTTGTTATGATTGTTGGTCTGGGAGGAAATGGATTGGGACTAAAGTCTCTGCTGCAGAAAAAGAAGAAACTTCGACACATTAATCTGTTCCTTCTGAACCTTGGAGTTGCTAATTTTTTGTTCCTGCTAACACTACCATTTTTGTCAGCGTACTACTTTATGGACAGTAAATGGATATTTGGAGATGCCTTCTGCAAGATCACAAGATTCTGCTTCAACCTGAATTTATACGGCAGCATTGGATTCCTCACCTGTATAAGCGTGTACAGGTACCTGGCTATTGTCCATCCAATGAGGATGATGGGGAGAATAACTGTGACTCACTCTGTGGCTATCTCAGTTGTGGTTTGGCTGTTGGTGAGTGCTCAAAGTCTTCCAGATATCTTCTTCTCCAAAATCTCACCAAATAAAACTGAAAAATGCTACCATACCACCTCTAACGAGTATGTGGAGGATTATCTGAAATACAGTGTGGGCTGGACATTGACTGGGTTTGTTATGCCACTCCTTATTTTACTTGGCTGCTACGGACATGTGACTCTTGTTCTCTGTCAAGCAAATACCATAAAGGAAGTGGTGAAAAAACAAGTTTTAAAGTTATTATTCATCTTGTGCCTTCTCTTCTCGGTTTGTTACATCCCCTATCATATTTTCAAGAACCTCAGCCTTTATTCAAGAGTTTTGTCAAAACAAGAGAAATGTCCAGATTGGAATGAGGGAGTCTTTGGGGCTCATCAAATAAGTCGTGGAATTGTGTGTTTGAACAGTGTTTTGACTCCCCTGGTTTACCTCCATGTAAAGGATTTCCCTACTCGATTCCAACAGCTGCTCCAGCGAACTCGCCAGATCTTTAATTGGCCTAAATCAAGGAGTGGCAGAATCCCTGTGACACAGTCTGATAAAGTTTAACAAGTTTGCCATATGTTAGAAATCTTAAAAATGTTTTACAGCTCTACACACATGCATCTTTGTTGTAATTGTATTCACACTGTGTAAAATTTCACTGGTTTTGACTAAGTCAACATTAGCAGCCACTTAATAACAATATTTTATTTCTAATGCAAATATCTTGTGATCCTTGCAATGGACAACTGTGGCATGATTACAGCACCTCCTGCTAAATGCAATCAATAAATAAAGGTGCGATACATAAGTAAAGATCCTTTATTTTCCATGTAAAGCATCCTGGTAAAATGATGTTACATAGACAGCAGTGCCTAGAATTGGTACAGCTAATCATCTAATCAGCTAATATCTATGACACGCTTTCACCCACACCCCTTGGCTTATTATGAGAAGCCACCAAGACCCTCATAACACTATAGTTAAACAGTAATGTCATTATCTTACCTTTGTGGCAAAATATGCTGAAACGATAATGACCTGTACTTTATGTAGTGTCTAAATTATATATGTTTATTGTATTTAGCTTTATTTTGTATTGCATTTTTTCTTTTCTTTCCTAAACAAACTTTTGTATACTGTTTACATGATCGAAAATTAAACAAAAAATCAACACAACACCAACAGTTGCCTGAAGGTGTTTTATATTGTAATGTAAAGATCCTAGAATAGTATAGAAAAAATAAATAATTTTAAGAATGTTGCCACCCAAAAGGAGAGAAGGGCAATATCATACACAAGTTCATGTAGTATAGTAGAGGCTTCTTGCCCCAGCTGGTCTTGTGTTGCAGTGTTCATGTTGATTTAAGATTTGTAGATTATTTTTTTAACTTATATTGCAAAGGTTTAAGAACTACTCATGCAGACGGAGACTAACAAAGTAAAACAGGAAGAGACAAACACAGAACGCAGAGATGAAAGACATGATAAGCAAACTGACGACACACAACTGACACATGTACACACAGATGAGACAGAGACAGACTGGACGTGAAAGAGAACCAACCAAATCAGACAATGAACTAGGAAATAGAAACGTGGATAACTAAAGTAGGGAGCAGGGGAGAATAATACCAAGCTAGAAGACTAAACTGTTAGGGTGCCTGGGTCGTCGACCCAGTGTTTTGTGTTTTTGGTTCTTTGATTTTGTTTATTTCATTATATTCTAGCTGTGCCTTATGGTTTATAGGTTTATTCTTAGTTTAGGTTTTCTGTGTGGGTTTTGTTAGAGTTTGTGTTCTGGTTTTCTGTCTGTGATCCATAGTTGCTGTCTCCCCTGTCTGCTGTATCCTTGTGTCAAGTCATGCGTCTCTGTGTTATGTTTCCTGTTTTACTTTGAAAGTCCGTGTCTCATGTTAATGTGTCTGGTTGTGCTTCCTTTGTCTCCTTAGGCCTGATTTGCCCCAGCTGTGTCTCCCTCCTGTTTCCCATTCCCTGATTGCTCCCTCTGTGTATTTAAGCCCCCGTGTTTCTCTGTGTCTGTGCTGTGATCTGCCCTCATCTTGCTGTGCAGCCCGCCTGCCACCCTTGGAGTCTCAGTTTTGTTACCTTTTTGGAGTTAGCATTAAATCTGTTTTGAGTTCACGTTTTGCCTCCGAGTGTCTGCACTTTGGGTCCTTTTCCTGCCTGCACATAGCCGTTTCATAACATAAACAATGCACAACACATAATAAATCCAGACATACGGCACTGTGCAAAGGTTTTAGGCAGGTGGAGAAAAAAAATGCTGTAAACAAAGAATGCTTTCAAAAATGGAAGTGCTAATCTTTTATTTTCATCAAGTGAATGAACAAAAGAGAAAGCTAAGACAAATCAATATTTGGTGTGACCACCCTTTGCCTTCAAAACAGCATATACTGCTAGGCACACTTGCACACAGTTTTTGAACGAACTCGACTGGTAGGTTGTTCCAATCATCTTGGAGAACTAACCACAGATCTTCTGTGGATGTAAGCTTCCTCACATCTTTCTGTCTCTTCATGCAATCTCAGACACACTCGATGATGTTGAGATCAGGGCTCTGTGGGGGCTGTACCATCATTCCCAGTACATCTCTGACTTGCTCACTGTCTACAGCTCAGTCAGACCTCTCAAGGATCAAATTCAGATGTTTTACATGTTCCCAGAAATAGATCTCAGTCTACTAAGAGTGCTTTCAGTTATTGTTTTTTCTTTGGTTTTACTGTTTTCATTTCTTGTTGGAAGTTTAAAGACAAATCTGTCTTTATTTTCTGTGTTAAGCACACTGAGTTTTATTTATTTAACATATCATAAAGTGCTGTTACTTCATTACTTAAACAAAAAAGACAAAAAAGGTATCCACAATGATGGATTTTATATTTTCATGCAGTGTTTTTAAAAAGATAAAATAATCTACAGTCTTTGTGAAAAAGCAAGGAATTAGATGCATGAGATGTGTTGAAGAAAAAAATCTGACTTCAGAGAGTGGGTATGAGTGGGTAAACCAGACCACTGTTATTTATACCAGAAGGGTAACAGAGAGTAGTGGAAGGGTTGCTAATTACATACAAAGAACAAAAAGGTAAAAGTTAAAAGGGTTTCGTCACTGATCATGGGGTAACAGGCTACAATAACAGGAATAAAGATAAGGTTCATAAAAAGCAAATGGCCACAGGAACAGGAGGCCACATTCCAAAGGTTCAGATCTATCAAAACAAATCAGAGGGTTACGGGATGATGCAAAGATGTTTATCTCAGCTCTGAAACCTGAAACTCAACATTTAGGGCTTCAAGCAACAACAGATACATTTGCTGTCCCTTCACTTCTTTCACTTTTAATTCTGCTACAAAGGACAGAGGTTGTGTGGACAACATGTCAGGAATAGCGACGAGTAAAACTTCCTTCTTTCGTTCAAACTATGAACATGTAACTCTGCCTGCTGTTTACACCTTTGTTTTTATCATTGGTCTGGGAGCTAACGGATGGGCGGTGAGGTCCTTGCTTCAGAAATGGAAAATTCTTGGACACATTAATGTGTTTCTTCTGAACCTTGGAGTTGCTAACTTTTTGTTCCTGCCAACTCTCCCATTTTTGTCAGCATACTATTTTATGAGGAATAAATGGATCTTTGGAGATGCCTTCTGCAAGATCACAAGATTCTGCTTCAACTTGAATTTATACGGCAGCATTGGATTCCTCACCTGTATAAGTGTGTACAGGTACCTGGCTATTGTCCATCCAATGAGGATGATGGGGAGATTAACTGTCACTCTCTCTGTGGCTATCTCAGTTTTGGTTTGGCTGTTGGTGAGTGTTCAAAGTCTTCCAGATATGTTCTACCCAAAAACCTCTGCAAACAACACTCATACAAATAGAACTGAAAAATGTCACCATACCACCTCTACAGAGTATGCTGAGAATTACCTGAAATACAGTGTGGGTTGGACATTGACTGGGTTTGTTATGCCACTCCTTATCTTACTTGGCTGCTATGGACATGTGACTCTTGTTCTCTGCCGCAAAAATACCATTAATAAGGTGGTGAAACAAAGAAGCTTAAGGTTGTTGTTCATTTTGATTTTGCTCTTCTCAGTTTGTTACATTCCCTACCATATTTTTAAGAACCTCAGCCTTTATTCAAGAGTTCTGATAAAACACAGGATGCGTCCAACATGGGATGAGGGAGTCTTCTGTGCTCATCAGATCAGTCGTGGTCTTGTGTGTCTGAATAGTGTTTTGAACCCACTGGTTTACCTCCATGTCATGGATATTCCTGCTCAGCTCCAACAGCTGCTTCAGCGGTTTCGTCAGACATTTACTCGTTTGTTTGTGTCAAACTATGTCAGTGTGCCTGTGGAACAAACTGCAAACAGAGCAATATCTTAACAGTAAATAATGACTTTGCATGCAAAAGTAAAAGTTAAAGACTGCTTTATGAACTACAATGTGCTTCATTCTCTTAATTAACACTCACTTTTTCTGGATAACAGTTTTGGCACAAGTGGTTAGACAAATAGTGGGGCAGCACGGTGGCACGGTGGTTAGCACTGTTGCCGCACAGCAAGAAGGTCCTGAGTTCAATTCCACCATCAGGCCGGGCTCTTTCTGTGTGGAGTTTGCATGTTCTCCCCGTGTTTGCGTCGGTTCTCTCCGGGTACTCCGGCTTCCTCCCACCGTCCAAAGACATGCAGCTTGTGGGGATAGGTTAATTGATTAATCCAAATTGTCACTAGGTGTGAATGTGCGAGTGAATGTGAGTGTGAATGGTTGTCTGTCCCTATGTGTTAACCCTGCGACAGACTGGCGACCTGTCCAGGGTGTACCCCGCCTTTCGCCCTATGACAGCTGGGATAGGCTCCAGCGCCCCCCGCGACCCTGAAAAGGATAAGCGGAAGCGAATGGATGGATGGTTAGACAAATATATATATATACCTTTGTCTATGTTTTGTTTCCTATTCTATTGCCTTGTAGTCTGTGAATGACTAAAACCTGGTGGAATGCATTTACTCTTTTGCTTTAAAACTCATTCTCCTTATCATGTATGCAAGATGTCATTGTTATTCCTTGTTATTGCTCTGTATTAGCTTCACTAGCTATTAGCATTTAACTAATGATGTTATGTATTTGAAATAAATGTAATTTAATCCTTGAAAATTGCATTATTCAAACCTCTTACAACAACAACTTTCATTTTAATGATAGATCAGGACAGAGCTCTGGCTCTGTATAATTATATTATATATGTATAAATTGTTTGTTATTTAGTGCTAGTAACATATTTATCGTGCTGTAAGGCCCACTTAAAATACCTTAATTTTCTCAAAAACCAACAGTGCACCTTATGTATGAATTCTGGTTGTGCTTAATGATCTTGAACCCATTTTGTGTGGTGCACGGCGCTCTGTTTTTAAGAACCTCAGCCTTTATTCAAGAGTTTTATCAAAACAGCTGATGAGTCCCGATTGGGATGAGGGAGTTTTTGGTCCTCATCAGATAAGTCGTGGTCTTGTGTGTCTGGATAGTGTTTCGACTCCCCTGATTTACCTCCATGTAAAGGATTTCCCTGCTCAGCTCAGGCAGCTGGTCCGGCAGTTTTATCAGATGTTTAGTTGTCTGAGTTTAAAGACTGCATTATGTAATTCATTTTATATCATTCTTTTAACTATTATTGTCTTTTTTTAATAACACGTTTAACAAAAAGGTCTACATACATACTTTTATACACACACTTCACACTCAATCTACCTTCAAGCCTGTAAAGTTTATTGTGTTTTTTGCTGACACACAGTCCAGATGTATATTCCATGTATTTTGTAGTGGCAACCTCTGTTTTGTTTTCTTTTTTGTTATTGGTCAGTTTAAAATCTTGGACACTTAAAAATTGTTGTGCAAAATATTGGAAGCATACATCCTCAGATTTAAAGTGACCTTCACTGACCTTATTTGCCATAGCTGGTATAAAGGGCTGTTGCTTCATTTGTCATTTTGTTCACCAGATTGTTTCATCATCTTCTGTTCTAATAACATCCAAACTTCCAGTTTCTACAACATAATCATAGTTCTTCTTAACCTTTAAGTTCCTGTCAATGATTTAACTTGTTTTTGTTCTGTCATGTGCCAGCTTGTAGCTCTGTGTTCTGTAGAAAACCTTTGGATTTCCTGTCTGCCATACGAGCCACTGTGAAATTTAGGTGGATTCCTCTGATGCACATTTCATGGCCATTATGAATAAACTTTTCAATATTTACCAGTTGTTATCTACTGCATCTAAGCTTTGTCATTAATAATTAGCATAGCTCATTACTGGGGACTGCTAAAGAGGTATCATATTATCCTATAAAATAGTCTATTTCTAAAAAAATTGTGATAAAGATAACTTTGAATTTTTTTTCAATGTACCTGTGCTCAAAGCTAAATCTATCTATAGGGTGTATTGAAAACACTATATAAAGTATGTCACTTGTAAATAAGTTGAACACAATCATGATGTATTATTTGAAAATTCATATTAGTAGAAAAAAAGTAATTAATCTTATTTTTAGATCTAAAGGACATCTCAAACTTTAGTCTTATTCATGGCTATTATTAGTTATCTTCTAACAACCAGAAGTGTGTATGATATTTTTCTATAGTGCCTAACAAGCCTTGTGCAGTCAAGCTTAATAGTTACTACATGACTGAAACAAAGACTTAATGTCTTTTAATAAAAATGATGCACATATACACTGGTCGCTCTGAATTGCTGCTGAGATTCTTGCTGCAGAAATGGAAAAATCTTGGACACATCAATGTTTACAGGCACTCCAGAAAGGACAATAATCCGACACTAGAGATCTGTCGGGAAGCTCCTTAAGAACGCTTCTGAAGAAAGTGTCTAATGAAGGACAGGTGTGAGAGAGATAAAGATAATAACAAGCTGTTCTTGTGAACAAGCAAAGAAATGGATGCATGAATTTACACACACGTATGTTTCTCAGATCTCAAACTTGTTTCTGCATGCATGCAGGGTCACAAGCAGGAGGAACATGTACATCTGATCTTATTCTTTCCACTTCTTTCACTTTTAATTCCGCCACAGAGGAGAGCAGTGTGGACAACATGTTAGGAGACAGAATGAATACGACTGAATGGTTTCGTTCAGTCTATGAACATGTAACTCTGCCTGCTATTTACACCTTTGTGTTCATCATTGGTCTGGGAGCTAATGTATGCGGACTGAAGTCTCTGCTTCAGAAATGGAAAATTCTTGGATACATCAATGTGTTTCTTCTGAACCTTGGAATTGCTAACTTTTTGTTCCTGCCAACTCTTCCATTTTTAACAGCCTACTACTTTATGAAGAATAAATGGATATTTGGAGA